TTCTGAATCTTTATTTGCAATAGCTGGAGAGCAATTAACATTCATTTGCACTGATCATCATCCATTGTGGCTGCAAAGTCATGAACGCTGTCACGGTTCTAAATATTGCCGACTGCAAGTTGTGAGTTGGTTCAAATTTAGTCTTGCTTGTCTTCAATATACAAGGTCAAACTACAAGGATTCTTGTTTTTCTACTGATGCTGTTTCATCACGTGGCAGTATGTTTTGAACCAGCCGGACAATGTTATGTAAATTAAATGGGCCATTTATAACTTTTTGGTATCATAGCTGCCTGCTCATAAACATGGACATCAATTGCGAATGTCATTTCACGTAGCCGTGTAGACCGGAATGCAGTATCACAATGACATTCGTTTTGAATGTCATTCGCAGCTAATGACAATACACGTGCCATATAACAGGGGTATTAGACTCAATGTACACCCTTAATGTCGGTGATATAACTGTAGCCATGTAATGGCTATTGATTGGCTTGGAAATCCAGTCCAATTTAACCTATAAGGATGCTTCTGCACAAAGTAGTACTATGTGTATTCTTGCTGTAACATGGTATAAAATGGGCATGAATAAATTGTTTTACTTAGTTAAGTTATGCATACATAAAATGGCAGGAAAAGGAAGATGGAGGCTTGCAATGAAATGCTTTTTAGGCAAATTAGAAGCTCTTCTTTTTGAGAAATCCATATAGATTTTCTTGTGGCTTCGAGCTGCAAACGGGTGGTTGTATTTTTTCATTATGCATACATGTGATTTTTAGTTGTGTATACACAAGAACAGCCAGTGAATGATGTTCTGGCCATCTAAGGGCACTCTTTTTCTCTGCGCTGAATGTAGCTGCATAGCTTCGTTACTAACTGTAGCATTCTTTTGTAAAAATCATTTGGATATGGGTGTGGGCACTGCATTTAAAGTTTCTCATATTTCGAGGGGCTGGAGGTACTCTTGTTGTTTTGGAACATGTATTGGCATCTTGAAGTTTTATCTTTTTTGTATATTAATCCATAGTAACTGAAACAGTGACGAGAGTGATCTTTTTGTAGGAGCAAGCTACTTCTACCACAGCTGCACTGCCCTTTGTAAAATAAGCATTTGGTGTAAAATAAGCATTTGGTGTGTGTTCTCAGCACAAATCCTCATATCCACTTGCATTAAATAGAAAGCAGTTCAGCACCAAATCTTCTCAAGTATGACCTACCAGCATGGTAATGTTGCCTTATACGCTTGCTCTAAAGACCTCATTATGATGGCAGTTTAATATTCCTGGCATTATTTGAAGTAATGAAGTAAAGGGCGCGATTTCAAGTCCTCATAGATGGTAAAAGAACTAATTTATTTTGAACTACATACTATGGTAGGTTGAGCCAATACGTCCTGCATTTTTTGGCCTCATGGGGGCCTTTGCACTGATATGATTTGGACATCATGAGCTCACATAGAAACTGCCATTTGCTATGTTGGCTACAAGATATTTTATATGCTACTTCTGATCAAGGTTCATTCTAGCATTAAAGTTGCTCGACGTAATTCTACAAAATTCCTTTTTTTTTTCTTATCCTGTTTGTGCATGTGACACCTGCAGGTTTTTATAACACTCCTCCAAAATGACAGTTCTAAGCACTTCAGCTTATTGGGGCACAGCGTCAAAAATGTGTGCCCTTAAAGGGCCTCTAAACCACCCAGAGGTCAAAATTTACTAGTGGTGTTGCTGCTCTGTTTGTCTACAATGAAGCTGGGAAAATTCTTCGAGACTGTGCTCTAATAGCAGAGTTACATTGCTGTGATACGAAAGAAGCCCTTGCTGGTTTCGCTCTTTCCTTCATTCGTCAGCTCGTTTCTCCATTCGGCTTAGTGCTCCTTTTCACCATGCGAGGACGAAGAGCAGCAAGCACACGTACCTGTGAGTGAACAAATGGGTTTTGTAGATGACGAGCCGGTGACATGTTTCACGGCGAACAGGTGAGGGGAGGTACGCTTCCGAAAGGATAGGAGGAAAAGGGATGGTTTCTTGTAATTTGTAGGGAGCCATGACTCGTGTTGCACGTACCTGTGAGTGAACAAATGGGTTTGTAGAGGACGAGCCGGTGACATGTTTCACGGCGAACAGGTGAGGGGAGGTACGCTTCCGAAAGGATAGGAGGAAAAGGGATGGTTTCTTGTAATTTGTAGGGAGCCATGACTCGTGTTGCCGTGTCTGGAATTGTTGATTGTGATGGCATTCAGAACACAATGGGCAAGTTTACTTGAAATGTTGAAAATTATCGGAGGTGGTTTGGGGCCCTTTAACAAATTTTAAGGAGCCGACTTGGCAATTCTAAGCACTGCAGTTTGCTAGGCCATAGCATCAGGAATATGCGCCTTTAACAAACTTTGGGGACCCAGCCTGACCATGTGTAAGGGTAAATTACAGATTAGTACACAGAGAAGTGAAGGGACTTCTGAATATTTTAGTAATGTAATAATAGTTCATGATAAGTACTTGCACCTCTAAAGCACTGTTGTATTTTTATCAGCTGCTAGTAGCAAAATAGGACCTACAAATGGCAATCACTTGTGGCAAACACAATACATCCTGCCAAAAACAATTCTATAAGTGGCAATCACTTGGTTATAAGGGCCCTGTTAGAGTTGGACAGTGACGAGCTATGATATAACAAACTACTGATACAGTGGCTTTTTGTAGTATGATCAGTGCCTCCTTTCCTCACCCCCCCTTTTTTTTCTTTTTTGAATTCGTAGATACTGAAAACCCAGTTCAGTAGGTAGAAATCTGATCTGTAGTCAGAAGAAAATGAGCTGGAGCCCGTCTGGTCAGCACTTTTTAGAATATGACTATACTTGACTACTTGCACATATATCTGGAAAGAGTCCAAACCCATGTATAACAATATAGAAATTTTATTCATGTTACTAATTATCGTTTTATCCGGTCTGTATGAGTGGTTATTAGAGGCTTATAATGGCAGAGTGGCCAGTGCCCCACTCCTTGTTCTAGCTGCTTTTTCAAAAGCTCAGAGACACCAGCCATATCAGCTCACCCAACCATTGCACCTGCTTCACATGATCTCTAAGATGGGGCATGCAGGCTTTCTGTGGGCTCAGTTGCATGGAAATCCAGCAGATTCACCACCCATGCTAGCTAAAAAAGATGCATGCTTACCTGCCCACCTCCACTTGACACTTACTGAGTGCAACAGCGAGGGCGCATAAAGCCACCATCCTTCCCTACTCACCCTTTCGCGCTCATCATTCCACTCTCAGCTTGCGACTCGCAGGGGACGCGCGCAGGCCATATCACAGTTGAACTTTATATGGAAACATTGATGTGGAAGTTCATTGTGGAAGGCTGAAGGCAAATTGAAGATAGGCTGGCGACGTGGGCAGTGCAGCAAAAGCTGGAAAACTCGTTATGTTATATGATTGCTAAACACTGGATGGATGCCGTGGGTGCAGCGTTTTGTGTTCCTCTTCCTTTCTGCACATGTACCATATATGACCAAGTTCAATTGTTTAACCAATAATGCAGCATGAGAACATTGTGGTAAGTGGGTTTATTTAACCATAGAAGATACACAACAGTTCATTATGCAGTTGGGGGTCAATTCTCTGTTCAGTATACTGTTATAAGTGGCTCTAATAAAGGCCCCTACTCTGTTTCACCACTTTGCTTCAGCACTACCTAAGCTACGGGGTGTAACAAAGCCACCCAGTCGCACAACGAAACATAGTGCCACGTACAAGTGTCTTGAAATTGTCAGGGTTGGCTAGAATTGGCGTTTCCTTGGTGTGTTTTACGCCACATTGATACATGATATGTTTATTCCTCTTCGAATTTACTTTGTATATATTTGATGATTTATGTCGGTTACCACCGGGTAACTGCTTATAAATCAACATGGCAGTGCCCATGCAGATGTGACCGCCCGCTTCGATCCGGACTTGCTCTTGCTACACGCCCGCAGCGGTGACGGCAGTAAAAAAATGTTGAAATCAGCCATCAATTTGTTTCATCTCACTCCGAAACTGAAGCACCCGGTACGTTTTGTCGATATTTACGAGATATGCTGCTTGCTTAGCCGCACCTGCTAAGCGTAACGCGTCGAGGCAGTGTTCAGAATAGGTCATCAGACAAAGAACGCTGCATCTTCAAATATCGGACATGCAACCTCGCACAGCATTCCGTGCGCGTCCGATTATTCTTCAGTGGAAACAAAAAAGAGAGAAAAGGAGCATTGCAACGGGAGACGCGAAAGAACACGTCGACGGAGAAACGGACATACAAGAGCCTTGAACAGCGTCGGAGAGAAACAGTCACAAAGTGAAGTTATTCGCCCGCATGAGATTCTAGCAGAGCAACAAATTCACGCTACTCCAAGTTCCCAGTGAAGTTGCTTGATTGTTTAATAGGTTTAATGCATTTTTTAAGGTAATAATACGGTGAGCAGACGTCACGAGTACGTTGAGACAACACGGTGCGAATTAATACATGTGGAGGGGATTAGCGCTCTTGCTATTGGCTGAGGGGCCTGTAGCCTCCACAGTGCTGAAGGGAACTTCTGAAACAGAGTATAGTAAGTTGCGCAGTGAGGGCATTTAGTGCATCAATAGACTGTGTGTTGTGTCTGACTGACGTAAAAGCAGCCAAAAGAATGGCGAGCGAAAACTGTGGCTTTATTGTGCCAGCAACTAAAAACGATAGGCGAACTGCCTGCGACAATGTTACAACAAGGAATGCCCGCCAGCTACAATGCCAGCGCTCTTTAAGTACAGCAATGCTGATGACACAACCGATGCGTGGCCGTGGTGCGAGATTGCGGCCAAGCCTTGTTGCGTAGCCGCACGACATATCACTGTGTCTGGGCAGAAAATAAGATGATGAATAAGAAGACGTGAGTTAGTGCACATTTTGCCGTATCACATAACTATATTTAGCAATGTCACCATGAATTGTTGGTGGAATCATTGTTCCCATTATTTTCCAGCATCGTAATGGCATAGTCCCAGAGGAAAGCCTTGTGCCCTTCACAAATCACTCTGAGGTTGAAGAAATGGATGTGGAAGCAACGGAACCAAAACATGGCAACAGCAGGCCATCCGACTCCTTTTATGCTCTTAACGATCTCACTGCTGATTCAACAGTACAGGACAGCAACCTTGCAAGCCAAGCACCAGTTCACGAAAGTTTTACTGAACGGGAGATTATGCTAGGAAATGTTAATGACGTTCATGAACGTCACGATCACCATGAGCATCATGATCATCATGAGTACCACGATCGTCAGGACCATCTGCATCATACAGGTATGTTCAATATATATATATATATGGTGTGTGCAAGCCGTGCATTGTTGATGCTTATGAATAGGTCTTCTTTCTGCAATAGCAGAATATATTGATAAATGGTTACGATTGTTCTCAATGTGTACCTAATAATGCGGGCTTGTAACATCACCTCTGCATTTGTAGTGGTTAGCAGCTGGTATAGCAGTTTACCAACATACCATTCCTTGTGCTTTGTCACTGGTGAGAGCAGCACCCCATGTGAGTTATCAACAAGATAACATGGTCATGAATCTTCAGTGAAAAGAGTTGCATAGAATCATGCAAAAAAACTGCTGTTTTATATCATTGCATCTGCAGTCATTGAGGTCCCATTTGAGTCCAGCATGTCTGTGTTGCCTAGTCATACTTGAGTTATTCAACAAAAACTTTAACTCATGCTGGCTTGTAACATCACCTCTGCATTTGTAGTGGTTAGCAGCTGGTATAGCAGTTTACCAACATACCATTCCTTGTGCTTTGTCACTGGTGAAAGCAGTACCCCATGTGAGTTATCAACAAGATAACATGGTCATGAATCTTCAGTGAAAAGAGTTGCATAGAATCATGCAAAAAAACTGCTGTTTTATACCATTGCATCTGCAGTCATTGAGGTCCCATTTGAGTCCAGCATGTCTGTGTTGCCTAGTCATCCTTGAGTTATTCAACAAAAACTTTAACTCATGATGTTGAAAACTCTAAACTTGCACCTTTCTTACTTGAGTGGAATCATGTGCCATCTTGCCAACCATCTGCTAACCTCATTTGAAAGAACGTTCCTTGGTGAGTGGCGTTGGGAATGTGCTGGACGACTTGGGCCTGAACCTTGCTGGTGTGCACTGTTCTTGGTCCTTTGTGGAACACATGAACTACTGTATTTGCTCACATTGCTTGCGCACTCTACTGACCTTATTTCAGGGTTTCAATGAGGGGTGCGCAAATCGCATTAAAGCTTTGCAGACATGTCCTCAGTAACGTCTACTAAGGTCATGTTATGTAAAATATTGCATTTTTTTTTTACAGAAAAATTGGCCGACTGTAAGGGGTAACAAGGGATAATAAGCACCAGTAGTATATATCGCCACGTGATAGACCCCCTGACACCATGATAAATCCTCATTACAGAAGGTAGGGCACTATAATAAAGCCTTGTTAAATATGTACAGTGCTTAGAAATTGAAATGTTAAAGTAGCCTGTATGGCAGCTAGCACTTTTTTTGCCACCAGTGAGTGTTCGGAATGCTGAGTTGACTCATTGAGGTATACAATAGAAGCAATAGCTTTAATCTTACATTAAAGCATTTTACTTGCACACAGTCACCCAGGATTTACTGTCAGGATTTGCTTTAACATTTCAATTTCTATGCACTGTACATATTCAACAAGGCTTTATTATAGTGCACTACCTTCTGGAATGAGGATTTCTCATGGCGTCAGGGGTTCTTTTACTGTGGTGATATACTACTGGCGCATATTATTCCTTGTTACCCATTTCAGTCAGCCAATTTTTCAGCAAAAACATGCGCAATATTTTGCATACCATGACCTTAGTAGATGTTTTTTTTATTTATTTATTTATTTAGAAAATACTGCGGTCACTGAAGACCAAGCAGGTGGGGAACATTACAATAAACAAATATGCAAACATCGAGAAAAAAATTAAAGGAATAATCAAATTTGCAAGAATACAAAATGGATAATACAATGAATTTAAGAAAAAATATAACGGACCATATAAAAATAAATAATAAATAATGGCGAAAATGAAGTGATGTCTTAAAGCACACAAAAAAAAGAATATACACATACGTACAGACAAATTTATACACATGGAAACGCGTCAACTATTACAAGTACTGAGCACCAACAATCCGAAAAAGTGATATATGAATACAGAGTATAAACATTATATTAAGCACTAGCAGTACAGAGAAGATGCGCTTATGTCACGGTTGAGATGCTCCGAGCAACGCTTTCTCGAAGTCATCAGATGAAATGACATCAGGTGGTAAGCTATTTCACTGAATAATTGTTCGAGGAAAGAAAGAATTTTTAAAGGTGTTAGTCCGCGTGGTGTATGGGAGCAGGTTATGCATATGACGATGCCTAGATGCGTGAGGAGAGAATGGTTGTATGTATTTATGGGCAGGAATATTCAGCTTACCATTATAAATGGAATGCAAGAATTTCAGGCGTGCGATTCTGCGGCGATCTTCAAGCACAGGAATATCGTTGTCTTTCATTAATTTTGTCGGAGAATCAGATAATTTAAACCTAGAAAAAATAAAACGTACAGCGCGTCTTTGAACCATTTCAAGTTTTTGAATGTCTTTTTTGTAGAAAGGGTCCCAAACCACTGATGCATATTCAAGTTTAGGCAAAATATACGCTTTGTACGCGAGCATTTTTAATTTCGGAGGGGCTTTTTTCAGTTTGTGCCTCAGAAAACCAAGCTTACGAGAAGCTGATGCGGAGACATTTGTTATATGTGCGGACCAAGAAAGTGTGTTTGTAATGGTTACTCCTAGGTATTTATATTCATTTACTTCACGTACTGGTGTTCCTTGGACGTTGTAGGTAAACGTGAATGGCTGTTTTTTTCTTGTCACACGTAGGAGTACCGTTTTGTCAGAGTTTAATGTCATTGACGACCGAGTACACCACTCACTAACTTGTGTTAATGCAAGACTTAGATCAACCTTATCTTGTTGGCATGTCACTTTTTATATACTACGCAGTCGTCAGCGAACAATCGGATACTAATGTTAGACTCAACCATGTCAGCTATATCATTTATGTATATAAGAAAAAGAATCGGCCCTAAAACACTTCCCTGTGGGACACCTGATAATACCGGTAAGGTGTTAGAAATATGTCCCCCCACGTCAACGTACTGAGCGCGGTTTGAAAGATAAGCCTCTATCCAACTTATGATGAAAGATGGAACATTCAGGTTTCGGAGCTTTATGAGAAGTTTGCCATGGGGAACGCGGTCAAATGCCTTGCTAAAGTCTAAAAAATTAAATCAACCTGGCCTGAAAAATCAAGTATTTGTGCGATATCATGAACTGTTGCAACTAGCTGCGTGCACGTTGATAATTTTTTCCGAAAGCCATGCTGGGCTGGAGACAACAGGTTATTATTTTCAAGAAAATCGCTAATAAAGTGAGCAATAATGTGTTCAAGTACCTTGCAGCATGTAGACGTTAGGGAAATTGGGCGGTAGTTTTCCTTCAGCAGGCGATCACCTTTCTTATGCACAGCTACAACCCTGGCGAGACGCCAGTCATCTGGTAACGTTGCCGTTTTGAGTGATTCAGAGAAAACAGTGGTTAAAATATGCGATATTGGTTCAGCGTATCGACGCAAGAAAGAATTCGGTATGCCGTCAGGGCCACCAGAGGATTTTTCTTTTACGCCAAGTAACAGTGACAACACACCCTCAAAGCTGATAAAATCCGAATCAGGCAAGGATGGAACAAGTTCGAGAGTTGTAGTATCTTTTGAAGAAAACACGGAATGAAGATAATCATTCATAATGTTGGAAATTTCTGTTAAGTCAGTAACTACTAAGTCATTTTCCCTTAATTTTTCTAAAGTTGGAGCCTTATTTCCCAAGTATTGCCAAAATTTTTCCGGATTATTCTTTAAGAAACTCGGTAAGGTCGATGAAAAATATTTATCTCGGGATGCTGTTAGTGCGCAAGAAAGTTCAGCTTGAATTTGTTGAATACCATCGGGATTTCTGTTAGTGCGCAAGAAAGTTCAGCTTGAATTTGTTGAATACCATCGGGATTTCTGTTTGATTTCTTTTTGGCGCGCTTTAGTTTTCGCTTAATGTGTACAATGTTACTGAGGGCACGTTTGCAAAGCTTTAATGAAACTTGTGCATCCCTCGATAAAGCCCTGAAATAAGGTCAGGAAAGTGTGCAAGCATAGTGGGCAATTACAGTAGTTCCTGGCAGCTAGCTACAGTGCTCACACTGTAGCTAGCTGCCAGGATCTCGTGGCATAAATGTGCACTAACCGCAAGATACAAGCCTTTTACATTCTTTTTACCAAAGTGTAGGAAAACAATTTTCTGGCGTGACCATCTCCTAACTTTTTTCTATGTATGTTCTCACATTTGTAAAGGAAAGGGCTGCTGAGTGAAAACCAGCACTTCTTCATTCAAATGCATTACCTGCTTCCACTTAGATCCCATGCATATTTATATGTGTACAGCACTTTCACAAAGAACGATTGTGTTATGCATTCTAGTGGTCATGTATCAACAGCATGCTGCACACCTGAAGTGGCACTAGAAGCTACATATGTGCTGCCAAGCAGATAATTGGAGTTCATCATGATACGGTTCGGTGATAAGTCATGCAGGTCATTCTTTGGTAACCACCATCACACCTCTGTACATCTCCATATATCCATGTTCATATAGACTTACTCCACTGCCCAGCTCACAAAAATACTGTGGTGCTTATATTCGGGCACTTTATTCCACATGGTAGGCATTCGCCTTCATGCCTGCCGTTGTTGCTGTTGTATTTTTGCCGGTGTGTGTGCTGTTTGCTGTTGTGCAAAACAGCGGCAGCTTAACTGACAGTCTGTTGCAGTTAATTGGGCAGAAAAGCACAATGAAGTGGAATAAGTTTTTGACAATTTCCTGTTTACAAAGATGGTTGCAAAGAATTAGCCACAGCTGTAAAATCGGAGTACATGTCTCCCAACACTGACTTATTTACAATGCATCGTATTGCTTCATAGTTGTGCTAAAATTTTGTCAGCTGGTTATGACCTAGTACCAGGCTGCTGGTTAATTTGCGTAAGTGTATTTGGGCCTCCTTTGACTTGTATGATCTTGCAGTTTCAGAATCGTCATCACTAGATAGTGCTGACAGTGATATCAATGCTGTGCTGCAACAAAAGCTGCAAGAGTCGAAGGAAATGATTGATGCCCTGTCCCGTCTGCAACAAGAGCGGCTGAGTGCCACGCCACCAGCACACCTGGGCCAAATCCAGGGTGCCAGTGAATTGGAACTCGAGCTCGGTATGTCCCCATCATCTGTTTCCCATCATATCCTCTTGGATTCTTCTTAGCTTCATGTTCCTCTTGATCATGCTAGCAGTTTTTAGCGAACTCCTGTTTGCTTTTTCCTGGGTGAGGCAGTTCTGATCAACCATACAAAGCAGGCAGATAATGAAACCACGTAATGGGCAGTTGTTGTTGCCTGTGGTTTTAATATATATCAAGACGTAGCGGAAAGGTCAACAAAAAACAAACTTGGTTAGAACGGACACCAGACCCTCGTCTTCTGCCTTGTGTTTGTAATGCTCTATCACTTGAACAATCGGGCTGTGATGACTGTTTTACCATTCAACTTCTTAATTCACATCTTGGTAATTCACGGCCCAACTCCAAGGAACTCTATTTCTTAAAAAATGCATTAATTAACATCAAAATTGAGTGTCACATGGATACAGTAAAAGCTCATTCACCCAGATCTCACGGGATCGGTGAAAATGTCCGAGTTAATCGAATTCCGGATTATTGAATGAACCATCAAAATAAAGGAAAAATGTACTCCGCACAGACAAACCTTTATTTCATGAAAAACTGTGTCAACTTAGTCTGCCTCTTCATTGGAATAAGTGCTAGAACGATCTTTTTCAACCCCATGTCTTGGTGTGTACGCTCACTGTCGCGAGAACTGATGCAGAACTTTGCGAGGACAGCGAGGGCTTCGGCGGCCTCCTGCACTGTGCGATGTCGCGTCGGCTCATCTTGAATGTCATCATCGGAACAGTGGTTCTGATCCCCTTCAAGCACTTATGGAGGTTTAAATTAACGTTTGCAGGTGTTGAGGGCGCCATATGAGCTTTAGAATAGCGCTTGCTCCTCCCAGGGAAAAGTCTAGGAACTTTTGCTCAGACCGCAAACCCAAATGCAAAGAAGCTACACACATCACTTAGCGGACCTCGCGGGCCGCAATCGCCACACGCTATTTTGGATTTTCTGTGGGTGGGTCGCGAACGCGAATGGCAGCTCGCATGACAACACATGCAAAGTGGCAGCGACTGCACCGCAAGGGCTCGCGGTGCACTAATCATCAGGCAGCAAACCGGCAACGGCCACACCATCATCAACGCACACAAAAACAGCCTGAGAACGTAATGACGGTTTTTATGTCAAAGCTCCAACTCTCCCAACAGTCAACTCTATTGATGTACCCAAGCTGCACATGCTATGTGTGAAGCCACAACGCAAAAAAATCAGCAGTGTAGATGCCGCGGGCAACTGGGGTAGCGGCAGCTGCACAAACTGTCCTGTCATCCGTGCATCCGGCGCTATGTGCGGTGCATTCCGAAGACACTGGATGCACCGGCGGCCCAAGCGCTTCCACTGAGTAGAGTTACTGCATATGCTACTGTAGGTAGCAGAGTTGCGCATAGGTCCGCTATCACGCATAGTTGCGCATAGGTCCGCTGGCACGTCCATGTTAAGCAGGAAAGCTACCGCTCTGGAATGTAGGAGCCTACGCGGCTTAGCAGCTCCGTGTACTTCCTCAGTGTACGCTCATTCATCACATGTCACTGACGTTGGCCCATCCCATAGCTAAAGGGAAGGGGGAAAGGGGGGGGGGGCTCGTTCCCGAAACTCTGCGTACGTATATTTTAGTGAAAATGACTAATACAAATGAGTGTTTTTCATGGTCGGCCCCCTACGCTTGCAAGTCGGCCCTCTACGCTTGCGAAAAAAAAAAATTACTGCATATGGGTTGGCGCTGGCGCAATGACTCTCCCTTACAAGAAGAAGAAAAAAAACTAAAACGTACACCAGAAAACACTACCGCAACACGGACAAACAATCAGCATCGCGTGAGCCGAACCGCCTTGCGCTTCGCCGGACGGACTGCTTGACAGTGCAGTAGTAGCAGTAGTGCCTTGCGCTTCGCCGGACGGACTGCTTGACAGTGCAGTAGTAGCAGTAGTGGCGCTGCGGTCACCAGCACCCGCGCGGCCACTTCATGGCCGCGCGGGTGCTGGTGACCGCATTCGCCGGGTGCGCATGTGAGCGCGCCCGGCGAATGGTGGCGCTAGTGGCGAGTTCTGTCAGAGGTGCAACTCCGCTACCTAAAGGTAGCAGATACAATAACTCTACTGCTGAGTAATGACTGCCGCCACCTGGCCACTTCTCCCCTCATTCACTATCATCGTGATCATATTCTGCTGCTGCTGTTCGTTCGGTTTCGGTTTCTCCAAAACTTCGGTTTTGTCGGCTTTGCCGTCGGTTACAGCGATGGAGCCGAAACTCCATGCTTTCAGTAACCAGAATCGGTTACTGAAAACATGAAGCCCTGATAGCCCTCTCTGGAATCGCCCGAGTCTAAATCTCACCGCATTAACGAGCATTTGACACCATTGAAATATACACAGTTTTGCCGGGACCGCATTGCGTGTCCTAGTTAACTGAATTTCCGAGTTAAAATCCGGATAAACGAGCTTTTACTGTAGTTTCTGTGTGCGTTGGCTCTTGCACTGGTCACTTCCTTTGTGAAGCAACTTGCTTACCTACCATCTTTATCATCCTCTGGCGACAGCTCCCTTGAATCTGAAAGTTTGGATAAACGAGCTTTTACTGTAGTTTCTGTGTGCGTTGGCTCTTGCACTGGTCACTTCTTTTGTGAAGCAACTTGCTTACCTACCATCTTTATCATCCTCTGGCGACAGCTCCCTTGAATCTGAAAGTTTGTGCTTAGATTAGAAAGACATAATAGCTTCAAGCTATGCAGCACTAACTTGCCCAGCTTTGTACTCTTTCGGTTGTAACAAGTTTCCCTGTGCACATGTTGGTCAGATAGTTAGTGGTGTTTTTTTAGAAGAGCGTAAATGGTGCTGGCTCTTCAAATAAAATTCAGTTGGCAGTTAACACTCATCCTATTGCTGTCCTTGTCTCCATTCTCCTTCCAGGTACACTCACGTAATGGTGACCTTTTTCATGTACAGCCATTATTGTAATGAAAGGCAACACATGAGCACGTGGCAGATAGCCTCAAAGCCCATATGTGGCACTTTATTGTGCAACATGCGCTAACAAGGAAATAGTCATTTCACTACTTCTGTCGTCTGTAGCCCCCCTCTCTTTTTTTTTTAATCACTTCATGTTGTTATGGCAGATGCTTCGGCTAGAGTGTGAAGCTTGTTACTGATAGTGGGATCATGCCATTACAGCTTCTAGAATGATGTTGTGTGACATTTTTAAATGGAGCACTGCTTGGGACATGATGTAGGTTGTTGTAATAAAAGAAAACAAAAAGGTAGTTATAGACAGTTTTGACTTGTTCATTGCTGCTGCACAAAAAGGTGTTTCTTGTGCTCCTTCTCAGTAGAAAAAAAAAAAAGGCCTTAAAGAGACACTAAAGAGCAAGGTAATTTTTCTTCTGTTAGTAAAGTATGATTTCACAATCTCAAAAACACCACTGTCAACACTACATCACACTTAGTAAGCGCGAAAACGCACGTAAAGAAAATGTGGGTAGGGACGCCACCTTGCGATTCCCGCACTAAACAAATGCTCTAACAAGAAACTTTAAAAGCGTCTGTTGGGTCCTACGTAGCTTTCAAGCGATCTGTGGGCACCATAGACCTTGCATACAAAGTTTCGGAAAATTTCATTTAGCCAAAGTCACCAAAATACCGAAATTAGGTTTTGAAATTTCTTGTGTCACAGGTGGAGATTTCAGCGTGAGATTTAAAAAGGCAAGCTCAATGTTTTATTTTCTCCACTAATAATGAACTAATGATAGTGAAACATATGACATTATAGTTCTCAGAGCGCCGTCGGTCAATGTAAACCAAGTCATTGTTCCTCTTAGTGTCCCTTTAAAGGTCAGAAATACTCTTGGCCTCGTTGGCACCTTCAATAAAAGATGGTAGCACTTGTTTTGCTGTGTGGAAGAAACACACAGGATAAACACTGAATGGGAACCTCAAACATTGTTCTTCGCATGCACCAGCAGTAATGATTAACAAGCACTCTTCATCACCTCTTTGTATTGTCTCTGGCAAGTGAAATGAGGCGTCATTCAAGATTTCAAAGATGCTTTACTGGCTGCTCTACTATAATGAAGAAAAACTAGCAAAAAGCTAGAAAAAATTGCGCAATATTATTTCTATCTGCCCTTCCATGTTACGTGGATGCCACATTTGTCTGTGCACAGCCGACCTTGTGCTTATTCACCGAGTGAACTTATATTCATTAAGGACAGAAAGCAGTACTTTATGTATATATGATAATACTATAAGAACTAGCAGTAACCCAGATGACACCCCACTATTAAGGGGGGATGCTACACCTTCCAAAAACTCTTTTATTTTTGCGAGTACCTCAGTCAAATTTGGAGAGCCTATGTAGATTTTACTGCTGATTTCAAAAATCTAATTCTTTTTTTGCTGTGACAATTAGTTTTAAAGATATAATGAACTGTGACTTTTTCAATTAAGGCCTAATTAGCTAATTAACTGTAACTTGGATATTGATGTGCAACCTATAGAACCAATTCGGTATGTTCACAGTGTGCAATAAAGTATAAATCATTGTTCTGGGCTATTTCGAAGCAAAGTTGTGGGATGTTGAATATGACATGAAAAATTTCCCCATCTACACTTGAAACAAAAGATCCATTTAGAGAATTTTCTCCAAAAATTATTACAATAAAACTTACTTTACGACACATCCCCTGCATTTATCTTCGAAACAAAAAAGAAATCGTAATGATAACCCAGATAGAACAAGAGATATTGCTCCGGCATAATGGGAAGAACATGAAAATTGTCGTTTTGAGAAATCGAGAAAAAACGTGGGCACACATTTTTATTGCAGAAGATGCAACAAGACAACCTCAAAACGCACCAGAAGCATAGTCTGAATGCATTCTGTGCTCATGCCTCCTCTTCACTAGCTTCCGGAGTTCCAATGAGGCTGTTCTTTTCTTGTTGGAGACAATGCTGCGACGGTGGTCTTTTCTCTCGCTCTCCTGGCACCAGTAC